TAAAAGTTCAAAAACTAAACTGAACTGAACTTATTTTTAAAAAATGTTCAAGTTCAGTTCAGTTCAATTTTTAAACTAAACCTGAACCTGATTAAAGTTTAGTTCAGTTCAGTTCAGTTTATAGGAACCCTAATTTTTTATATATAAAATTTTTTGAAAATAAAATTAAAAGCCAGGTTGCCAGATTACTTTTGAAAATTTTATATTATGATTACCTGTATCTAGTGTTGAAATAAAACAGAGTTTTAGCAATTATAAAAATATTTTAAGTGATAAGTAACATAATCTTTTGCAAAATTCTTTGTTAATATTAAACTTACTTTATTTTAATAGGAAAGTTTAAATAATTTGTAAACATTTTTTTTTTTAGCAAATTTTTTTTTAGTTGTTAAAAATTTTTTTTCTTTAAATTTTTTTTCTTTAAAATTTTTTTTTCTTCGTAAATATGAATTCATAATTATCACATTATGAGTAATAAATCAAAGTTAGAACAATATAAATATGTATAAGGTTGCACAATTTGAATTTATCACATCGCACTACGATGCATCATAATCTGGGGTCTCTACGACGAATTTGCGGAATTGACCTAAATCAAGGTCCATATATTTTAACAATGTGATTGTAAAGCCGACCCTAAAATTTCGCATTCTGGCAATTGTTAAATTCAGGGACCCTAAGTTAGATCCATTCCGCAAATCCACTGATATGGTTTAAAAGATATTAGTAATTTATTTAATTTTTGTTATTTTTTTTACTAATTTTACAAGTTATTTTTTATGCTTAAAAAAAGTAACTTTTATATATTTTGTTTAATTATACTGTATATGTTTAATTAAAATTAAAAAATAATTTATTATCCGGTTATGAAATTTAATATGTTAGTCTGAAGGGGCCCAGAAATGCTGCATATCATTCAATAATGATATTATCCGGTAGCTTACGACGACCGAACCAATAGAATAACTCGAGTTTAGTAACGGTAATTATTGTGGCAGATCATAATGAAATCGGATTAAAATGAAATGAGGGTTTCTATTTAACCATCTAAAACCCACCTATACTTGTTTATTATAAACTTTATCCTAAAACTAACCTCTAACCCTAACCCCTAACCCTAAAAAATGCACCTCAAAAATTTTTATTTTTCGGTGGCTTGTCTATTTTTTACATTGTATAATATTTCATTTTAATCCGATTTCATTTTAATCTGTCACAATTATTATTGATAACTCGAGTTATTCTTTTGAAATAGAACATGTGTAACAAGTTGTACATATTTTTGTTATTGTAAGCTAACATAAATAGAAGAACTTAAAAATAATATGCTGTACAGTATACCATATTAAAATTAGTTATGCAACATCGACCTGCCCGAAGCATTAATTTAAGACGAGTTCCAAGTGATCGACATCACGTGCGGACAACGGACATTTCACTTTACCTGTAACATCGATTGGCTTCGAACCGGAAGATTTGTTTGTAAGCAGTAACGGTACGGATTGGTTTATAGTAAATTTACAAGGAATTTTTTTATGTACTGTACCGGTACGTACTAGGAGAATAGAAAATATTTGTTATCCGATTTTTTGATGTTTTGTTTTCACATTACGCAAACATTACATCGTATAATTGCCAATCGCAATCCGGAGACTGTTACCTCCGGCGACAATAGATTCGCTCTAAGAAAAATAATAATAAAAATTGTAAATGTAGTGTATATAATCTTTTCTATAAAAATCTTCACCTTCTACTAATACTTTTTACATAGCTTAATAATTTATAATTTGCAATTACTGAATTACAGAAATAATCCAAGGTTTTTTTTATTTGTATTTTTTAACGAAATGCACAAATTGTAGTGTGTTATTACAATGCAGTAGATATACTGTATAATAAGTTAAATTTCATTTTGAATATAATTCAAGTTTTAAAATCTTAAATAAGAATTGGGTCAGTGAATTAATTTCATATGAAGAAATTCCTGGACTTTTGAACCAGTGTTAGTTACGCAGTCATAATCCATGACTAAAACATGTACATATTGTTGAACTAGAATCTTTAGATGGCCCTAAAAGAACTCAAGATAACTTAAGAGATAACCGCAGAGAATAAAAAGGAATAATATCCGACACGGCCGAATAGTGCATATTGGATATATCTTTACACCTGATTTGTTCAGCTCCAATGTCATTGGGGCCGACGATTTTTCTGACAGGTTAGGGATATCCACTAGTGATAACACTCCGAAAGAATACATGGGGTTGCTTTGAAAAATTACCATACAGGGCGTAGTAATTACTATGTTTCATAAGGCCATTTTCAGGTAAAGACATATACATATGTTCGGAAGTTACTCCGGGTTAAAATATGTGCACCATGCAAGTTGTTCTATGTTCTATTTTAACAATTTGTGTAATACAATATAGAAATTTTATGATCTATTAATAACTACTGTAATTATCTCATTATTTGGTTTATTTAGTGCATAAAATGTATTATATACAAAAGCTAAGATATTATAGAGGCACAAAAATGCATATACTGTACAATATCCAGTTCTGCTCAAAGCTCCAAATATAAATTTTGTTACAGTTAGTTATATAATACTATTCATCTAACTTCTAGTTGCATGGTTATAAATCCAAATGCACGTGACCATGGGTTATTCATGTAACATCGCGGAATATAAGATGTCCAATGAAGATCTTACCCGCATAGAGAACGCATGGAGATAAAAGACCGACCACACTACTTTACCGTATTACCGTATTAGTGTATATAGTAATAATCCGAGATATAAAAGGATCAAAAAACGTACGTATTTTTTTTAATCTAGAAAAGTTGTGGCTTGTCAGACATTCAAATACTGAATAACTTATCACCGTCGCTTGTTATCATTTTCATGATCTTCAAGGGAGTGCTTAACTCTTACATCAAAATATGGTTGCAGCCATGGGCGTTATATTGAAAGACCTTACTTCACAAACTGAAAAAGCAAACCAAACATACGAAGAGATAGCAAAAAATATATATAGGGGTAAAGGTGTTGGGGATGTTGGACATGGTGAAGATTACAGGTGTAATTGTAAATTTAAGCCAGGTAGCGTATAAATTCTCTGACTTAATTCATAGAGACTTGTAGATAATGAAAAAAATTTTTTTTTGCTCGAAAATATAATGAATTTTGAATTTCTTTTTTTTTCACCGGGAAAATACAAATTGAATGTCTGATTTAATGAGATAACTTCGTTAATTGAATAGGTAAGGATAACCCGAGCAAGGCTTGCGGCGAATATACAAACTGTGTGAATCGAGAACTTTTTATCGAATGCGTTGATGGTGAATGTCCTTGCGGATCATATTGTCAGAATAGACGGTAAGAATTTTTATTGCTTTATGACATTTGAAATGTTATTCGAAATGAATTAGAAATTGTGATATAGTTATTAGTGTTGGATAATATTTTTGCTTTTTAATGATGTGATCCAATTATAAAAAGAAGAGCTTTTAAGATACCAATAAAAGAGTTCGTTAATTGTGATCATGAGGGTATGCCACAAAATAATAATAAGTGTTTAACAAGTGAATTCATTGACCATATATATAATTTCTTAGAACATTATGGTTAACATAAAAATAATGTTAATAACTTCAACTTTAAAATTCTTTATCTTTTTATCATAAATATAGATTTCAAGATGCCAATTATGCCAAAGTAGATGTTATATTTCTTCCGCTTAAAGGATATGGACTAAGAGTATTGGAACCGTTAAAAAAGTAGGTGGGCTAATGATTAGTTATCTCGTCACTGATGTAATCTTTTCTTAAATGCGTTTATGTTTATCAGGAATCAGTTTGTAATGGAATATATTGGAGAAGTTATCAAGAACGACGTATTTATAAAGCGCATGAAAAAGTATAACGAAGAAGGGTTAAAGCATTTTTATTTCATGTCACTTCAGGCTGGAGAGGTAAACTGCCTGAAATATTTCTTACAATTCTAAACAAATTATTAACGATTTTCTTGCTATTACACAGGTCATTGATGCGACGGATAAAGGTTGTGTGGCCCGGTTTATGAATCACTCATGCTCTCCAAACTGTTTTGTACAAAAATGGATGGTTGGAGAAAAATATCGAATTGGAATATTTGCTCTCCGAAATATCCAAGAAGGGGAGGAATTGACCTTTGATTATAACGCAGAACGATATGGGTATGTGCTTAATCAAGTTTACATTAAATTTTTTTTTTTTTTATTGCTGTAATATACTGTATAAATACCATATAAATTGGTCTTATAGATCTGAAGCTCAGGCTTGTCACTGCGGTGAACCAAATTGCCGTGGTATTATTGGAGGGACCAAAGAAACTGGTGATTCTATTTTATCCCAGGACTTAATCGAAGCTGAACAATTGAAACCGATACAAAATTGTAATGACGTATTGCCTTTTATTGGGCTTATGCTTCGTTCAATTGAAAAACCGGCGATGATACTAGGGCTGTTATACAGGTTACGGGTAAATTTATTCACTAATGTTAATTTTGATCCAGTTATTAATTTGATAAAGTATTAAGATTGATTTTTAATATTGCTTATACAGATTACAAATGATATTAGTATCCTTAAAATGTTTATGAAGTTACATGGCTCTATAATGCTCAAAACATATTTACGTGAACATAAGGACAATGATGATATTATCGAAAAGGTTGGAACACTCATTTAATGAATAAATTTAATATTAATCAGAAACTAACTTTGAAGTCATAATATTTTTCTAAAGACTCTCACAATCGCAGAAAAATTGCCGTATAAATATAGTAACCGTCGCGTTGAGTCATCACATCTTAAAGAGTGGGTGATGAAATTCACGAGCCGAAATGATAGAATCGGAGAACGTTGTCAAGCAGTACGCTACTTTATTTTTTTAACATAGATATTTAGACTTTTGCTAATATTTACTTTTACTGTTTATAGCTTATAGAGAAATGGCAGAGTCTTCCAGAATTCTATAAAATTCCAAAATACAGTGAGCGAGGTCTTTTACCTCCAGAAGCTCAAAAAAAAGAAGTAGAGGATACGGCCATGGTAAAAATTCAGTTTCATAGATTTTTTGTTTATTAATTTATCAGACAGTTATATTTATTTTTTAAATTAAAATAAATAGGACATTGACACACCCAAAAATTCAGAAACTTCTGAATCTAAAGCAGAAAATCAAACGACTTCCGATGAATACTATTTCTATGAGTCAGCACATGACTATTATGTCCGGTTCACAGATAGTCACTTTCCATTTCAGAATCTTTCTCAGACTGATTATTGGATCTCTCAAAAGCTTTCTCCTCACAAAACATCGCAATCCGACTATACCCATTCTTCTTCGTCCTATTTAAATGATCACCACAATAATCATCACAACAGTGAACCTGGTTCTTCACGGTATAAATATGATAAATATTCAAACAAACATTGGCATAATAAGTCATATGGCTCATCACAATCGCCGGCAGTCCCCCCACAGCCCGAATTACCACCTCTTGCACCAAATTGGTGTGAAACAAATGATGAATATGGTAATGTATATTATTATAACAAGTATACTAAAGAAACAACATGGGAAAGACCGATCGTAAAAGATGACATGAAAACCATTGATGGTTTTAGTAAAGCTGAACTGCAGGGAATTATCGAACGTGCAGAGGCTTTAGCTAAGAAAGCGGAGAAAGACAAGGAAAGGGCTGCTAGAGAACGTGCAGAAAGCAGTAAATTAGGTTCATCCTCAGCTTTAAATAACAATCTCAGCGAACGAGATTTTAGAAATGCTGTAAGGATTTTATTATTTAATGCCTGAATTTATTTATTTTTTTTATTAATATTAATTTAAATTTTTCGACTATAGATTGCAGCTACCGTGGTAGATTATTGTAGTAGATTTAAACGTCACATGGACGTTCAAACATTTAAGAAGCAAGCCAGAACTGTAAGTATATTATTATTAAAATTCATTAACCGAGAATAATTAACATTTATCTCTGATTGATATACGGTAGTTATCTCATCTTGTGCAAGATAAGGAACTTCGTCGATCAGAATGGCGCAATGCGGTGAATTATCGCTTTACAGATGAGGCCAAAGCTCGAATCAAGAGTTTTGTTATTGATTATATGAGGAAATTGATTTCACGAATAAAATCATCTTCTGAAAAGCATGAAAAACATGAAAAGCACGAAAAGCACAAAAAATAAAAAAAAAAAATAAAAAAAAAACCACACGTATGAGGATATTCTTTTTGCTATAATACCCTTATTTAGCTGGAGTCCAAATCTTTAAACAAATTAATACATTTAGTTATTGTATGGTGCAGAAAGTTTAATCACATAATATAGAAAACTTTACCGATCATTACTTATCAATTGAAATTTGATTGGTTAAAATTTTTATAAGTTGGTTAATTTCTTTAATATATAATAATGCTGAATTTTAAAAAGTGCTAAATTATAATTAAATACATAGTTTAATGGCTTTGTAAAAAGCTATCTAACAGTGATTTTTTATAATTAGATACGAGCTTTATGCGATTTAAACACAACTAGACTTCTCGCATCGTGTTATGGTCGAAGTGCATATCGATATTAAAAGTAATAAAAGTTGCCCGCATTTTAACTGCATTGAGTATGCGCATTATGTATTCACTTGCATAATTAAAATTATGTACATTGTGTAGACATCGACCCGCATTTAATTTGGTTTGTACTGCGATTAAACACATGCAGAATGAATTCATAATCGCAACTATTATTCTAGATTTTTTTTCTAAAACAGCCTCAACTCATACTATCAGGCATGAGACATGTCCCCTTGATTGCTGTTTAATATAAATCAAATGAGTTGACTTACCCAAATTTATATGTAAAATTTGGCAAAAAAAAAATACTTTTCTTTAATTTACTCAAGAAAATAAATATAAAATATAATTTTAAATATGGGACTTATATTCTTTAGTATTTGATACTTCTTTAACAAAAATTATAAAGCTATATATCAAGTAGTTTTAAAAGGATCTTGAGTTAAAGTTGTTCAATTCTTCTCTATGTTCTCTAAGTCAAATGACTGATTTACTTAAAACAATAATATGATTGGCTAAAGCAATCTTTTGAAAATTAAAGAAAGTTCTACTAACAGGCATGAGACCAGTGTTTAAAATTGGCATACACAAGATGCATATGTGCATGAGTTTTTTATAAATTTTTAAAAAATTTATTAAGTGTACACATAAAATTTTTCAAAAAAAGATAAAAAAGATGCACAAAATATGTTTGTGCATGTAATTTTTACTTTGAATTTTAAACACTGCATGAGACATGTCCCCTTACAGGAGTTCAAAATGTTGTCAAATATAAATCAAATGAGTTAACCTACCCAAATTTATATATAAAAATTGACAAAAAAAATACTTTTCTTTAATTTATTCAATAAAATAAATATAAAAAATAATTTTAGATATAGAACTTATATTTTTTAGCATTTAATAATTCTTTAACAAAAGTTATAAACCTAAATACTAAATAGTTTTAAAAGAAACTTCTTTAAAGTTGGTATATTTTTTGTCTTTACAACCCTTGTAAAATTAAAGTAATAATATGATTGGTTAAAGCAATGTTTTAAAAATTAAAAAAAGTTCTACTAAGTAAAGATTTTTTCTAGCTAGTAATTATATTTGGATTAAATATTACTCAGATTAATCATAGATAATCAGATAACTAAATAATAACTATAGCTACTTGAGTAAGTACATCTGGATATTATCTGGGTAAATATACCCAAGTAATATCCAGATAGATATATTCAAGTAATACTTGAATAGATAAACCCAAGTATTACTCAAGTAAGTATCTAGTTAATACTCAGATAAGAGTACTTTTATTACAAACCTAATTTAATCACTATGATAAGTTATATATAGAGTTGGAATTAATACCAAAATTTTATATTGTTTAATAATAACTATAATAATTTTTATATTCAGATTATGAGATTAGTTAAATAAAATCCCAGATTAGATTTAAATAGCAATTATACAACTAATTGTAGTAGTTATACTAGGGGTTGTACTTTTATTTGAATAAATTATTTAATTTTTAGCGCAGGTACAGAAGAGTTTAATAAAAAATAGAAAAAAAAAACCAAATATATATAAACTTAACTAGATATAATAAGTAAAATTTTATATTTGTATATACTTGTCAATTATTCTAGTAACTTGTGGGTATACTTGCCAGGTAATATTTTTTTGATTAAGAGCAGTGCAGTTAATCATGTAATTAGGGTTTACTATGAGGCTATACTCCCCCTACCCCTCTCACTATATAAAAAATAATTAGCCAATCAAATTTTTTCTTATATATAGACATAATAGTTTGCTTACCCCCTCTCCTCCCCTAAAAAATCACGTAATTTTCTGCACTTTCCTAAGTACAATTACTACTTTTAGCTTTCCAAATTGGCTTGGTGAATCTCAAGATATTTGGGGTTAAAAGTACAAATATAGAGATCTGCAAAGTTACTATTATACAAAAGATAATCATCTAATAAACAATTGTCTTTTGTATAATAGTAACTTTGCAAATCTCTATGTTTGTATTTTTAACTTCAAGTATCTTGGAATTTATCAAGCCAATTTGGATAATTTAACTACTATTAGAATTTTAAAAACCTTCTCTACAAGCTTTTTAAAAGCTAGAAAAGATCTTTACTTAGTAGAACTTTCTTTAATTTTCAAAAGATTGCTTTAGCCAATTATATATATTATTGTTTTAAATAAGTTAGTCATTTAACTTAAAGAATATAGAGAAGAATTGAACAACTTTAACTCAAGATTCTTTTAAAACTACTTGATATATAGCTTTATAATTTTTGTTAAAGATGTATCAAATACTAAAGAATATAAGTTCTATATTTAAAATTATATTTTATATTTATTTTCTTGAGTAAATTAAAGAAAAATATTTTTTTTGACAAATTTTATATATAAATTTGAATAAGTTAACTTATTTAATTTATATTAAATAGCAACCAAGAGAATATATCTTATACCTAATAGTTAAAAATGGTTTTTTAAAGATATCTTGGTATCTACTAAGCCGATTTAGATGATTTAATCACTATTAGATACATTTTAACAAGCTCTATAAAAGTCTTTTAAATTAGAAGAATGGTTAACTTAGTATAAAAAAAAGTTTTAGATATATATATACTATATTTGCAAAACTCCAATTTTTGTTTTTTTTTTTTTTTTTTTTTTTTTTTTTAAGTGAGGTCTTTTCCTCAGTTCCTTTATTATTTATTATGCAGATTTT